AGCAAAAGCGCATTGAAGTTCAAATTTTTCTGCCTTAAATAACATTCAGCATGTGGCACAAAACAATTTAAAAGCCAATCTTAGCTTCATAATCAACCTCCTAGCAGCTTCATAATCAGCCGATGTAGATTCTCCTTGAATTCTTATGCTATGAATTGCAAGACGCTTTTTGAAATTTTCGAACCAACCTTTACTTGCCAGAAAATCTGGGTTGACATAGGATTTTCCATGCTCTTTAAGGTGCTTGAAAATTTTGAGTGCTTTTTGTTTAATGATATTAATATTTAATGAAATTCTTTTTTGACAGATCAAATGTTGAGTGCCTTTTCTATCTTCTCAATTATTAACACCCAGGGGTGAACTCCACGTTTTGCAGATGTCGAAGATCAGGCAGCAACTGCACATCTTATTTCTCTTTCCTTTTTCGTGCGGACTGTTGCTTCATTTAAATTAAAACTTTTTCCAATGTAAGATGCCTTTTCATAGATGGGGCAAAATTTGTATTTTTACTTCTAAAGAAAATAATTTCCTCTTAAACCATTGTCTTTCTTATGTTTATCGGTTAAGTTTTGGGATTGAACTTAATGTCTTAGAGATGAAAAAGTTATTCTTTTACACATCGTGGGTAGATGCAGACCAGCAGCGTGAGACACTTATGTTTTCAGACCATGGAGATGAGGATTCGAATTTTAGAAGCCGAACATGCAGTTTGTGGGATTTAGTGCACTTGTTGTGACCTCATGTTGTTCGCCTTCTGAGGTTTCTTCATTATTATCTGGCGATTGTACTCTCTTGAGACTGGGTATTGTTTCTGTTGTGCTACTGGGATTTGAAGGTCATGGAAGGAAACGATTTTTCTCCGTTACCGGTTAAGAATTCAACGGTTGCTCTCCACCACGTGGTTCGTCTCCCTGAGGGCATTTGTTCTTATGGGTACTAGATCTTGGAAGAATACTGGCAGAACTTACAAAACAAGAGTTCTTGTGTTAAATGACTATATGGGTGCTTTTACTCAATATCAAAAATCTTTGTGCGAAGTTCGTTAAATTTCTTATCGTGTTAAAGAGAAACCATATTATAGTAAAACTGTTCTAGGAGGGTTCTCGCAATTTATGAATTATGTTATAGCGAAACCATGTTACAGGGTGCAGTGTTGTAGGAGGGCTGCCTATAATTAATAATTAAAATAATAAAAGGATTGAATAATTAAAACTGAATTCTATAAAATGTAAAGATAAATAACAATTTTATAAATTATTAAAATACAGTCAAAAGTCGTTAATCCGGACTCGTCGGGACTTCGGCGATTCCGGATTATCTATTTTTTCCGGATTGTAGATCATCAGTTTAAATCTCCTAAGATGGCATGCAGAAATTGTAAAATTAAAAATATGAAACCGCAGTTTATGAAATAAAGAACAATTATGATCTAAAGGGTATCAAAATTTACAAAAAAAAAAAAAAAAGCTTAATATTTATTTGTTTAACTTTATTAAACATTTCTTTCAATGTAAGTTGTTTAAGTTGCTTCGTTTTATGTGATAATACTTTCTCTTTAATTCTATAAACAGACATAATTTCTTGTTCAGTTACAAAGTTCCGCTGTTCAAGTCCCGTGATTGCTGTGCCGAGAATACCGACTAACTTGTCAATCAAAATTTTTTCGTTTTCACTAACCTCTCTGTCACCTTCTTCATGTCTTAATCCTTTTTTTGCAACAATTCCACTTTTTGTTTGATGGACATCGAAACATACTTTCGTTTTGTAGATCCTTTGGGAGCTCCAGCATCGGAAATTCTATTTGACATAATCGAAAGTTCAAGTTTACTTTTTTAAAATTGCTCTTACAGTCTGCAAAAATAATAAGCCAGATCCAATTCGAAGATTAAGGAACAATGCAATCATCAACATTAACTGAAATAGATAATTACACAATTTTAGCTTATACTGTCCGTTATACATAAAACGCGCACGCGAAAACGTATTCTGCGCTTGTGCACACGCATATGCGCAGTCGTAAAGGTCTTACGCGCGCGCGTAAACGCCTTTGCGCATGTGCAGAAAGTTTTTTAGCTTTGAGGTCCGGATTATGGGTGTCCGAATTAACGACTTTTGACTGTAGTAGTAAATAGTTAAATAATAAAATACTGTACCTTGCCTTATTTGGGCTCCAGTTGAAATCACAATTTCATTAAAAAGCTGAGAAACAGCTCACCTGGACTGGCTGAATTTAAGCCCTGAATATGCAAGTATATTGTGCTATTTCAAGGGATGATAGAAATAAAAACCATTCTTTTGTCAGCACACCAATAAGAAGAGTTGAAACAGTTAAAGCATCACAAAGGAGAATAGAGAAAATGCGTATAAATAGTAACAGATTATGGAGAAAATTTTCACAGGTGATTGTGTAGGTATGAAAACAAAGATTGAAATGTGCAACACTTTATGATTGCAATCCTCTGCAAATATAATTCTAGCTCTCAAGCATAATGTGACAAATGGGTGTTTACCTGAGCATAGAAAGTCTACTTCTATATGTTATTATATTGTTCCAAAATGTCTGCAAAGTGCTTTTTTCTGCAGGAACTTTGGAAATGAACCCTCTGTTGTAAATTCAGTGCATTTCCTGGAGGAAAGTCTTTTACATGTAGATGGGATATTCCTTAAAGGTTTGCTTGCCTGGGAAAGAGTGGCATGCAATCAGAAGTTAGAAGCATTTTAAATTTAATTTTATTACTAAAATGAAATTGTCGAAATCAAAAGAATTTTCTACTGAAATTATTGTTTAGTTACATAAGAAAAGAAGAGCTTTCTAATTTACGGCTCTAGTGCATTCTAGATTAAACTGTGATTTATGTAAGATGTGCCAGAGCCCAGTGCAATTTAAACACTACTTATGCTAAAATGCATGATTCGTTGCTTTACTGAAGAAAGCAAGTGACCTGAAGTAGTTTGGAGAATGTTTTTTAACTATCTTTTCAGATCTACTGTAACTTTGTTGGAATATATATAATAAAATATTTATTTATTTCATCCAGTTCTTATTGTTAGAGTACACCTAATAGTTCTACCAAATTTGGAGCTTCAGTCAGAGCATTTTAAATCCATTATATATGTAATGAGTCAGGAAATTTTTTACATCTTTTGAAAGTCAGATTGATTCTAATGTTAACATCAGTATATTAAGAATTTCCTTCTTGCCCTCATGTTTTATGATACAACACATTATACAGTCAAAAGTCGTTAATCCGGACTCGTCGGGACTTCGGCGATTCCGGATTATCGATTTTTCCGGATTATAGATCATCAGTTTAAATCTCATAAGATGGCATGCAGAAATTCTAAAATTAAAAATATGAAACCGAAATTTATGAAATAAAGAACAATTATGATCTAAAGGGTATCAAAATTTGCAAAAAGAAAAAGCTTAATATTTATTTGTTTACTTTATTAAACATTTCTTTCAATGTAAGTTGTTTAAGTTTTGCTTCGTTTCATGTGATAATACTTTCTCTTTAATTCTATTAAACAGACATAATTTCTTGTTTTTTGTTTTAATAACCTCTGTCACTTTTCTTCGCTATCGGAAGCGAATTATAATGACGAGGAACTTGTTTTAAATCATATCAAAGACGGAGCATATCGAGATGAAATACTACATTTGGTAAGGAATTATAAGCCAAATAAAATAAAAACATCTGCGCTGAAGATAGTGCTGACAAATCAACTTCCAATTCATTAGGCGCCCGCCGCCGAGCAGCGTGAAATTGATAAACAGATTTCGGATTTCAAAACATACTTTCGCTTTAGATCCTTTACATATTAACAATATATATCGGAAATTCTATTTGATATAATCGAAAGTTTAAGCTTACTTTTATAAAATTGCTCTTACAGTCTGCAAAAAATAATAAGCCGGATGCAATTCGAAAATTAAGGAACAACGCAATCATCAACATTAACTGAAATAGATAATTAGATAATTTTAGCTTATACGTCCATTATACATAAAATGCGCACGCGAAAACGTATTCTGCACTTGCGCACACTCATATGCGCAGTCGTAAAAGGTCTTACGCGCACGCGTGAACGCCTCTGCGCATGTGTCAACGTGGCGCATGCGCAGAAAGTTTTTAGTTTTGATGTCCGGATTATAGATCATTCCGAATTATGGGTGTCCGAATTAACGACTTTTGACTGTATTAGTATTTTATTCCTGTCTCTTCTCTCTGACATTGTGTATCTTGAGAACAGTTTGACTTTTTCTATTTGAAAATTGGCATCTTAGGTGGTGACCTATGTTGCCTATGCTTAGAATTAAACTATATGTATCAAGGTTTAATCTAGTTCAGATCATTTAAGTTGTGTACAGGAAATTTTTTACATCTTTTGAAAGTCAGATTGATTCTAATGTTAACATCAGTATATTAAGAATTTCCTTCTTGCCCTCATGTTTTATGATACAACACATTATATTAGTATTTTATTCCTGTCTCTTCTCTCTGACATTATGTATCTTGAGAACAGTTTGACTTTTTCTATCTGAAAATTAGCATCTTAGGTGGTGATGTATGTTGCCTATGCTTAGAATTAAACTATATGTATCAAGGTTTAATCTAGTTCAGATCATTTAAGCTGTGTATAGAATTCTCATTATGTTTCATACCTCTAACACAGGGCTTCTTAAACTTTTGTCATTCACGGCCCCATTTATGATTGCGAGTTTCTTGACGACCCCATACAAATATAAAAGAAAAATAAATTAATATTTTTTGATGATTTATTTATTAGGTAACAATATACATATACATATGAAAATATATAAGTTTAGAATTCGTTTTGAAACATACAAAAATCTAAAATTAAAAATTGCACAAAAAATTATAAAATTGTATTTATTATAGTTTCAAAAATAAAAGTGGATTCTGACCGTCTTAATTCTCTCGAATATATTCAAGTAGTTGCGTGGTAAGTATTAAATTAAAGTATAAGTAAAAAATTTAATGAGATGGATGTGCCTGTTTTTTATTGCATAACAAATCAAATCTTGGTGGAATGTTTGAAACTGCTGGACGTAAGACCTCTTCAACATTTTTTAACGCTGAACGATATTGGGATTTAATATGTGTTAAAGCTGAGAAAGTAACTTCACATAAATATGTGGTGTTGAATGGCAGAAGTACATTTAACGCCATATCAGCGATTGTGGGAAATTCAGTTCTAGCTCCGATCCAGAATTCAGTCAAGGGCTTTTTTTGAAATTGTAGTTTTAAGTTTGAGTCACTGGAAAGCTCAGCAAATTCCTCTTGAGCTTTAAGTGGCAGGTGATCAATCTCACTTAAGCCAATCCAAAACGGCTTTTGAATCCAAACTATTTTTTGGAAATCAATATTTAATTTAAAATATGTCCGGAACTGTATTTCTAGCGCTTTTAAGTGATCTACAATAATTTTTGCAATAAAAGTTTTACAATAAATTTTCTCGATTACAAAATTGTCGACACTGGAAAACATTTCGAACGAATTTTTTTCGACCCTACTTTTCCAAATGTTGATCTTTTTAATAAAACTTTCAATTTTATCATTTGAAGTAAATATATCGCAATATTTTCCTTGAAGAGACAAGCTGAGATCGTTTAACTTTGCAAAAATATCTGACAAATAACACAGCTTGGATAGCCATAAGTCATTTTGAAAAAAAGCAGCAAGTTTACATTTTCGTTCGGTTAAAAATATTTCGATCTCGTCCTTTAATAACAATAATCTTCTTAAACTTTGACCTCTTGACAACCATCTTACTTCTGCATGTAATAACAAAGTTGTGTAGTTGGAATCCGTATCCTTACAGAGATTTGAAAATAAGCGACTGTTAAGGGCATGGCTCTTAATAAAATTTATGATCTTAACAGCATCCTGAAGCACATCGTTCAATTCTGGTGCTAATTTTTTTGCTGCAAGAGCCTCTCGGTGAATAAGGCAGTGAGTAAAAGTTATATGATCATAATGAGCAGCTTGAAAAAATGATCTAAAACCAATATTTTTGCCTGTCATCACTCTTGCACCATCTGTGCATATTCCACAGCAATTTTCCCATTCTAAACCTTCTGCTTTTAAAAATTCGTCAACTTTACAATATATGTCTTTCCCTGTAGTATGGTCTTCCATAGGACGACAAAATAACAATTCTTCCACCACGCTTTCTTTATAAACATACCTGACATATACTAACAACTGAGCCAATTTAGTAATATCAGTTGTTTTGTCCAACTGAATTGAAAATTTCGGGCTTTCTTTAATTCTTGTAATAAGTTGTATTAATTGATCCTTGTTAATATCAGAAATTCTATTCGAGACAGTGTCGTTCGACAAAGGAATTTTTCGAATATCATCGCCATATTTTCTTCCATGTAGTATTTCTACCATTTTAATAGCAGCAGGTAACAAGATCTTCTCCAATGGTGAACGGCTTTTTATTTTTAGCAGTACAGTATGAAACTTCATATGACGCCAGTAAATATTTTTCATTAACAGTTATAAGTTTTTCAAAGATTTTCTTTTCTTTATTTAAAGATTTCAACAGTCTTTCAAAATATTTTTTTGGTTTATTGACATACGAAACATGCTTTGATTCAAGATGTCTTTTTAATTTTGATGGTTTCATACTCTCCGAAGCCAATAATTCATTGCAGATCAAACAAAGAGGTTGTTCATTACCCTCACAATATTGAAATGTAAAGTTAAATTTAAGAAAAGACTCATCATATTTTCTTTTTCGCACATTAGATGCCTGTTTTCCAATACTTTGTTCTGCCTGAAAAGAGTTTGTAGCATTATCATCTGCGTCATTACCATTCTTCTTTAAGTTCAGCCATTTATCCATGGCCAAAAATTATTTTGATCCTAAAATAAAATAAATATATAAAAACAACATACTGCAGATAATAATTGATTTATTAATTACCGAATAAATAAAAAAAAAACTAAAATCTTGTTACGGGGGACACTGACAATTGACCACACTAGAAGAGCGTCAACACTCCACTAATTCACATTACAGTCAGTGTAGGCTCGTTTACACAAGCGTTTTAGTCAATGCGAGTTACGGAATGTTATGAAAATTCGCTTAAAAAGCATAAAATTCACAAATTTTTCAACGGGTTTTACAAGTATTTATGCGCGCTTTTTTATAAGAGCCCTACAGACCGGTTTGGTTAATGCGTATTTGCCAGCGCGTGTATTGAATCATTGTTTAGCTGCAGGTTGCACGTGTGTATGCGCGCGCATTCCTCCCTTGTGGGAAGTCAGCGGCGCGTGGTTTATTCAACATGTATGATACCGACAAATGCACTAACAATGTATAGCCACAGTATAATAATAGCAATCATCGATCGTTTACTGCCGTCGGTGGAGATAGCTCAAAACCTTCAACAAATGTGCGTGTCTAGATGCTGCAAGTCCACTGTATTCCACCAACTCTAATGATGTTATAAAATGGTATATATATATTATATGTAAATATTTGACATTAAAATCTCTCGTGACCCCAAATTGGGGTCGCGACCCATAGTTTAAGAAGCCCTGCTCTAACATATCTTTTGAATTTTTTTATATAAATATTTTTATTGTATAATTTTTTAATTTAAAATTTTTTATTTTTTCTAGAGCCAAGTATTGCTGCCAAAAAAGTCTCATTTTTATAATGAGGAAAAAACATAACTGACAGAATGAATGAGAAATATTTTGAAATTTAAAGATATTTTACAAAATTTATTCTGCTTTTATGGAATGTGAAAAAGTAAACCAAGAAGGTATGCATGAAGAAGCTGAAACTCTCTCACAGACTGATGTTGCTACAGTTAGTACTGAAAAAGAATGCCAATCATCAAAAGACTTACCTTTAAATGAGGAGACAGAAACATGTGTCAGTGAACAGGAAAAAAGTGTAACTTCAAATAGTGTGTGTGATCAAATTCAAAATGCTGATAATAATAATTTTAAAAGTGATGATGCGTCCCCTTTAACAGCTCCAGTAGCAAAAACTCCTGGAAGACCTGGCAGAAAAAGAAAGAGAGAAATTTACAACAAAAATGATGATCCTGATACAATAAGAGAAAAACGCAAGAAAAGGGCTGTTGAATTAAAACTTAAAAATTTAAAATGTAAGTATTTTTTTTTTTTTTTTTATATTTAAAGAACATTTATTTTTATGCAATAATTTAGTTAAAATGTAATAATTGCATTTAGCTGAATTTAATAAATGAAATAAGGAGTTAAATGGATTAGGTAAATTGTGGAAGTTTTTGATGTACCAGAAAACATGATTTTATTTAAAAAAAAATGGTTCTTTCTGAATATCTGTGTATCCATGAAAATAGGCCAACTCATTGGAAAAAATCATTTGTTTGGCTGTGTGTATGGCAGGAAAACATTGCTCTGCATGTAAATAATAATAAAAAGAAACATTGACATGTATTATCCCATAGGTAGCAGTAATTTAGTGCCAGTTATGAGTAAGTATGACATAACATTACATTCATAACATCTGTGCTTTCTCTGAGGAATGCAAGTTATTCAGTTGCATACTGCTGGGTGCCTAGACATGCTGGCATTAAATGCAATGAACTTGCCAATGTCGCAGCAAAATTAGCTGATGTTATTTCTCAAAATGATGCCTTCTTTACAGACATGCCAAACTACATCAAAGCAAAGATCTTGACCAGGTGGCAAGAGGACAGAAGAAATTAAGGCAGGTAAACTCAACTTGGATTACCCGGAGTCCAGAGGCAATCAAAAGGAGGATATACTGTTGACTCGCCTATGAATTGATCATTCCAGATTGACACATCAGTATTTCTTGAAAGGAGATTGTGAGCCTATTTGTAGTACTTGCAATGTTCCCTATACAGTGAATGATATTTTAACCGATTGTGCTGCTTTTAATCAGAAACGTGTTATCATTCTAACTCTATGAATACTCATTTAATGGAATTTATTGGAAGAAATCTCCTTATTAACCTCATAAAAATTTTAAAAGGCATTACCATATGATTCGAGTTTATTTATTTATTTTTTTTTTCTGCTCTGCCTGTTGTTGCAGCATTTTTCACTTTCATCTGTGTATAACTTCATCAACATTACAGGATCTGTTAACAGTTTGTATAATACAGTACAAAGTCCGTAACCCAGACGTCCATTATCCGAAATGATCTATAATCTGTACCTCAAAGCCACAAACTTACGCATACGCGTTTGATGCGCGTGTCTGCTACACATGCGCGTAAAGCCAGTAAAGCGTTTACACATGCACGCTTCCGATAGTGAAGAAAATGACAGAGAAGTTATTGAAAACGAAAAAATTTCGATTGGCAACTTAGTCGGTATTCTCGACACAGCAATTACAGGATTTGAACAGTGGAACTTTGTAACTGAACAAGAAATTATGTCTGTTTATAGAAGAGAGAAATAAAGAGAAAGTATTAGCACAAAAAACGAAGCAACTTAAACAACTTACATTGAAAGAAATGTTTAATAAAGTAAACAAATAAATATTATTATTATTATTATTATTATTATTTTTTTTGTAAATTTTGATACTCTTTAGATCATAATTGCTCTTTATTTCATAAATTACGGTTTCATATTTTTAATTGTGTAATTTCTGCATGCCACCTTACAAATTTAAATTGATGATCTATAATCCAGAAAAGCCCCGATCCAGAATCGCCAAAGTCCCGATGAGTCAGGATTACGGACTTTGTACTGTACAGTATCGTGCTCCTAATTTATTTGTGGTATACAAGTGAATGATTTTTGTTTACTATCGAAACACTGCCCAAATGGAACTTGTCTTATATTTTTCAGTTTTTGTGCACTTGAAACTTATTCATCATTCGTTTGGTGCACTATAATCTTTAAAGTTTTTTGCCAACAAAAGTAAACCAATCAACATCTGTGCTTTCATTTGATGAAACTTTCTTTGATTCTTCATAAGCTATGTTTTGTTTAGTTTTTCTGAACAAGGATATAAAGTAACTCTAATTGCTCCTTTTTTTTTTTAATTTTGAAAAACATGATCACTATTTGGAACCTGCCTTTTATAGAATAGCAAACAGTATATTTTTTTCAAAGTTATAGGATCCTACTGTTAAAAAAATGTGTGCATTAATGGCAGGGCTGAGGAGTCGGTAGGGAAAATGATCGACTCCGAGTCCTGGAATTTTAATGACTCCAACGCCCTCATATATATACAGTCAAATACCGAAAATCCACCGACCTGAAATCCGCGTTGCCTCTCAAAATATGAACATTCAGTTTATAGGTTCCGGAAACCGCAACATGGAGTACGAAATATCGAAGAAAAAATACTTACCCAATAATGACGTCATAATTATCGAATAATAATGAGTCATAATGGAAATACCAAATTATTGACATCATGATAAAAGTTTTTTCCCCTCTAATCTGCATCGAGGTAAGAATGCAGACGATTCACTCAACTCTTCTTTCAAGTTCACGATTCATGTTGTTGTATTTTCTGAGCTTTGTTATTTCATGAGATTATTTAGTGCTGCCTTTTTTTTTTATCTGGATATTTTGTCAATAAATTAAGAATATTTTTAATTTCAGCCCTTTTTTAATACAATTACAGATAAGAAACGCACTCATGATTTTACTGCTTGCAACGTTGAAAAATGTAAACATCTTGCATTGACGGTAATGCAAAAAGGGCAAATTATGCAAAAGATGGAGGCAGGTTCCACTCCTTGGTTTATAGCAGAATCATATGGAATTGCAACACGATTGTGTATGATATACGAAAAAATAAATAAAAGCTGTTGAAATTTTACAGCAACAGTGATTCTAATGCCGGAATCCGAAACCGGAAATCTTTGCATGAAGCAAAATCGGCAAACCTGGATGCTGTGTACATATACTACAATAAATAATACAGTCAAAAGTCGTTAATCCGGACTCGTCGGGACTTCGGCGATTCCGGATTATCGATTTTTCCGGATTATAGATCATCAGTTTAAATCTCGTAAGATGGCATGCAGAAATTCTAAAATTAAAAATATGACACCGAAATTTATGAAATAAAGAACAATTATGATCTAAAGGGTATCAAAATTTGCAAAAAGAAAAAGCTTAATATTTATTTGTTTACTTTATTAAACATTTCTTTCAATGTAAGTTGTTTAAGTTTTGCTTCGTTTCATGTGATAATACTTTCTCTTTAATTCTATTAAACAGACATAATTTCTTGTTTTTTGTTTTAATAACCTCTGTCACTTTTCTTCGCTATCGGAAGCGAATTATAATGACGAGGAACTTGTTTTAAATCATATCAAAGACGGAGCATATCGAGATGAAATACTACATTTGGTAAGGAATTATAAGCCAAATAAAATAAAAACATCTGCGCT